GGTCTGTATGTGGGATCCGAACCCTCGGTGGGAGTGCCGCCACGCTCCCAAGTGGCGCACTATAGCAGTGCGCCACCGGGCCGGCCCTGGCAATTTTTACTTAGACACCGACTCATCTTGTGGCTTGCTGTGATTCCCTTTTGTTTATAATTCACGGATGCAGTTCACTGAGAGAATCCTTTCTGGAAGTCATTAACATATAGATTGGGTTCTCTGGAAGAGGAACGTTAGAAATCTATTACATTCAAGGAAATCTTTTATTCTTCAGACCTTTAGAGTCATTTCAACAGTTTATGAAGCAAAGGCAGGTTATGGTTTGATACTTTTCTGAACTGTGCTTTAGAAAAGTAGATGGTCATCTTTTCCTGATGTATTTAGAGTCACACTTGACGTGACTCCATTGCTCTCAAAAAGGAATTCGGTTTTTAAGAAGGAGGAACAGAATAGTGGCAGGTATGCTGGCCTCTTTATGGATGAACTGGTTACCAGTTTAAAGGAATCCTTACAAAGCCTCTGCTGCAGTTAATTCCTAAGAAACCACCACACTGTGTAATACCATTCTCTGTGGGCAGGAGTATCTGTAAGTGACATCCATCAAGACATTTCTTCTCATATGCCTTTGTGATTAAGTGCTTTTTAATGGTGTTGCTGATGGTTTGCCCATATGTTTGAGTCCATCCACAGTGATGTGGAATGTGTACACTGCTATGGGATGAAGGGAAACAGAATGATTTAAGATGCCAGCATTTTCAGTATGTGTAGATCTCTGATAGTATCCTCTTTTTTCTTAGTTTCCCTTCCTTGGCTAACTCTTTAAAATAAATACTATGAGGTTCTTTTTAGTTGAGTTGATTCATACTACTTTATTTTTTTTCTCTGAAATGATAGGTTTATTATAAAGGTCAGCTGGGAAGAGCTACTGCTTTGAGCATGACTCCCGAAATGGAGAGAGTAAAGAAGAATCAAGAAAACATTAGCTCGGCAAGTGGTTTTATTCATTTTGGACAACCACAAAGGATGTACCTGTATTATTTATTTGCAGTCCTGTTTTCTTCCCGTGAAAATAAATTTACTTTCAAAAAACATTTGTGATATTTCCAATAAGTACGTGTGTTATTTCAGGTGATTTTCAGAAGCTGCCACTGTACACATTTACATTTTCCTGTCACCTTTCATTGGTATTTCCAGATGTGACCGACAGTTACATTTTAAGTTTAGTTTTCAATGATATTATGTTCATTTAAACAACAATGCATGTTATTTTAGCCAGTGTCTTTAAAAGTGATGAAGTCTTTGAAGAAGTTAAATATTTGTCATTTTACTGATGTGATTTATTGGACGTAGATTGTTAAATTAAATGCTCTCTGCAAAACAAAGTAGGAAAAGAGTCATTACTCCAATGTATGGACTTAGAGGGGAAAAAAAGTCTTTAAATACTCTTTTTTTTTTTGGTGACTGGCCAGTCTGGGAATCTGAACCCTTGACCTTCATGTTCTAACACCATGCTGTAACCAACTAAGCTAACCAGCCAGCCCTAACTAAATTTAATACAGAACTTAGTCACTCATTAAAATCTCATGGTGTACACCAGTGTCTTATTTGGATAGCGTGCTTTTCAGGGCTTCATCTCTGAATTGCACGTGTACCCTCAGGTCCACACTATGTGGTATCCTCTTCTTACACATAATCAGCTTCACAAAGCAGCGTCTGATGGCCAGCTCTCAAGAACATGGCCCTGTTCCTAAGCACACCTTCAAGGGCTCTGTGCCCAGGGATCAGCAGGCTTCATCATNGATAGCGTGCTTTTCAGGGCTTCATCTCTGAATTGCACGTGTACCCTCAGGTCCACACTATGTGGTATCCTCTTCTTACACATAATCAGCTTCACAAAGCAGCGTCTGATGGCCAGCTCTCAAGAACATGGCCCTGTTCCTAAGCACACCTTCAAGGGCTCTGTGCCCAGGGATCAGCAGGCTTCATCATTACAGCTCCCTAGTGACACTGCTGTCCAGAGATGCCGAGTGTAACTAGCATAAATTACCTTTAAGCTGTGGCTGCTTAGAAGGAAAACCAGATTTGCTCCTCATTGTTTCTTATTCTCTTAGGAGGGAATGAATAAGAGGAAATAGAATCCTGGTGTGCATTCTTCAACATTGTCACGGCAAAAAATAGGGAAATTTAAAAGCAGAAAATAAATTTGGGTTCTATTTAGTTTGGGTTTTCTTTGTTTCATTTAAATATGATAACTAGTTTTACTAACTACATGGTTGGTGACACACATTTGTTTTCAGTAGACAGAGAGACTTAGGTCATTTTTGCAGTAGCCTCAAAAGGAGATCTTTGAAAATAGCATTTTAGGTCTCTATTCTAGAAGAAAATGTAATTCACAGGCAAAGGTACCTGGGAAATAATTTTGAGTGTGTCACATAGTGTTTCACTCATTTGCAAAGGTTAAGAAAGTTATGTGATGTTTTTTAGTATAATTGTCTTATTATAAGTATGTCTGCTATTTACTTTGCAGGTAAAATACACCCAGGATCATAAACAGATGAAAGGTAGACCAAGTCTGATTTTAGATACACCTGGTCTGAGACATGTTAAAGAAGCACAAAATCATATTTCAATGGTAGGGTACAACCAGATCTTTCTTCTCATGACTAAAACATACTAAGGAATGGCACAGCGCAGTGTACCGATGGTGTTAGTTCACTATTAATCTGGATAACTAACAAAGCGTGGAATTGTGGATGGGCCCAACCTTTTTCTAATCACACTGAAATGTAATGGAAATGTTTAGTCTAATAAAATAATTTTTCTCAGTGACTTTTTTGGTGTGTTTTTATTTCTAATGTGACTACTATAAACACATTTTGTAGTAGACGTTTGCCTGGACTTTTTTCCAATTAATTTTAAGATGGAGTTTGGTGTGGTTGCTTGTCTTAAAGAATATTTTAAAAAGTATGTTTTTAAAAACAGTTTCATGGGATGTAATTTGCCTACCATGAAGTTCACCCATTTGATGTGTTCAGTCCAATGTTTTCTAGTACAATATACAGAGTTGTGAATCTATCACCCTGATCCAATTTCAGGTCATGGAAAAATAATGTATGTTTTCAAGGATATATAAATTTTTGCAATTATATATAAAAATTGTATATATAATTATCTATAACTGTATTAATCTAGTTTTAAATACAATTTCCTTGAATAGTTGTGTGGAAACATCTTATCACCTTATTGCATATTCATGGTTAAGAGATAGGAAATTACTTTTGTAGTTAAATTAGTACGAGGGCACTTCAGAAAGTTCATGGGAAAATCAGATTGAAAGATCACGTGAATCTTTCCATGAACTTTTTAAAACATTTATCTTTTACAACTTTTTCCTGATGTACAGGTTTATATATAATTTAAAAGAGACACTTACCGAGATGATTAAAACCATGGTGAAAATATCAGCACTTGAAGCTGGGAAGCTGAAGTTTCAGACATTATTTTTGGAATCATTGGAGAAGATACATATATGTAGAAAATAATCTAGATGCAGCTAGTGCACTGACACCTGTCATTTCATCAAAAATTTATAAGATGTGTAACAATAAGCAAATTTCAGTTTGAGTTAATATTGTTTTTTTCTTTTTCAGGTAAAATATCATGAAGATTTTGAAAAGACAAAAGGAAGGGGCTTTACTCCTGTCGTGGATGATCCTGTGACAGAACGAGTGAGAAGGAACACCCAAGTGGTTAGCGATGCAGCCTATAAAGGTGTCCATCCTCACGTCGTGGAGATGGACAGGCGACCTGGGATCATTGTGGGTAAGCTGACGGCCTTTCTTGGCAGGTATGCACGGTCCCAGGGATTGTGCTTGCTCTAGCTTTAGGATTAGCTTTCTTATTCATCTGACCCCTCATTAAATGTTTGATGTGGTGCCCAATTTAAAGTGGACCATAGGTAGAGTGTTGTATTTGTACCATGTTGAATGGGATTCATGATGTTCACCTGCTATCATTGCAAATCCTATTATTGGAAGTGCTCTGATTTTAATAGCTTTCTAGTCTTAAGAATGCTCCTACTTGTTAAACAAAGAAGCAGCCCAGACATGGGTTCTAACAATAGTTGAACAAGTATTGTATTTTCCTTTAATTTAGCTCATGTACTTGATCAGTCTGTTGTGCTGTACATAGCATGTGCATGGGTGACAGAAATAATCATGTCACATTTAGGTCCTTTTGCTACAAATAGACATGCCAGAGAGATTCTGATGTTTTTCCACAATATGAATAGCTTATATTTTTTGAATATTATTTCTGAACCTAATAATTGAGAGCCAGCTAAAATTCTCATAATTTAGAGAGGAGCCTTCTCTTCCTCTGTCTATTCCTTTTAATCAGTTAGGGGAAATCCTATGAGGATAGTGCTGAATGGTGGCTGAGATATCAGCAAAGATCAGAGTGAGGTATAAGGTTGAGCTAGAAAGGCAAGTTGTTGATTTTTCAATGTATATCAACAATTCATGATTATTGTCCCCTTCAGAGCAGTTTAGCCTCTGAATTTTTATAGCCAGTCCAAAGATGTAGCTCAAAGAATATTTTTGGTAGCTATGGTATATGCCTCTTGGTAATCTCAGTGTTAGGTTTTCTTCATTTTTAAAAGTAGGAACTTATTTTTTGGTACTAGTAAGAGGCCATTTAGAGTTCAGTTAGGTGGAGAAAGTCCATATTTGATAGTCCTTCATGTTCTTGGATGATTACCAAAGTGACTCAAAGTATTTTCCAAAGAAGGAATCCAAACATATTTTTAGGCAATTGATAGCTTTGCTGATCTTCCCAACCTGATTACTTAAAAGAATCACATTAAGTTGGATGGATGACTTGTGATGTTTTCATTAAGAGTAACACAGAGAGTTTCACTGTTTTATACTAGCATCTCATAAAGGATAGTGAGGGGTCTGATTCATCTCAGTAGGGTGGAACTGCTAAAGTCTGTGCAGCTGACCCCGGGGTCCTATATACAAGGACACTTCAAAAAGTTCATGGAAGGATTTGTATTATCTTTTTTTTTTTTTTTTTTTTTTTTTTTTTTTTTTCCGTGTCCGGCAA